GGGTGCGTACCGCCAGGGGTTCGAACTCCAGCTCTCCTCTCACCGCTCATTCACAATCCTCAATACACACTGAATGACGTATTGTGATAAAGGGCTTCAGTTGAGGCCCGGGCTATCCCCGGGCTATTATGTGTCATCCGTAAGAGGAATACATATTTCACGAGTCAATGACAAAACCAATGGCAATACCAGAAACCGAAAATAAATGTGGCGGACATTTTCTTGCCGTCATCACATTTGTCGTGTCACCACAACCGCCGTCCACCTTCATGCCCGGCCCCACTCTTTTCAGGAGTGATTTGCTGCGGTCACCGCCCCCCTACATAGACCGACTTCGAACTCTGGAACGATCCACGGTGAGTGATAGTTAAGAGGGGCGTACGCCGATCGAAATATGTACGGGATGAACGCACGTAGATCCTTCCAGGACCACCCTTTTTGGTATTGAGAAGTAGTAGCCGGTCGGTCATGGACAAGAAGAAAGCAAATCTAGGTTGTGTGCAATGGCTCGCGCTTTAGGTATAACCAGGAAGACGTTGTATGCACTTTGCAAGATCGACACCGCAATATCTCCCCGAAGGTAGTGTCCGTCGAACCTGTTATTCGTCTACAAGTCAAAGGCAATGAAATGCCGAAATTACACTACTTTTTCAGTACTAGTACAAACCACCCTGCACAAAACGGTTTCTCTACAGTAGTGCAGCAGAACTTGGCGGTTTCGCGGACCGCCCAACTCGACGGAGCGGTAAACCGTCAAATATCCTAGTACACCAGGTTGAGAGGTCGGTGAGGGGACGCAACAATAATGAATTGCCGAGGGAGATGTAGAGTAGAATGCCCCCAACGTTTGTCGAGAATGATTCATTAGCCTCGCGGTCATAGGTCTGATTCTTGTGGAACAGAATCCCACGGGAGTATTTCATGCTGGGTGGGTGCAGATCAGGGAGAAAGGGCACGCAATTTTGAAGCACCCACTCGCCGAGAAGCACGGGAAGGAAATAAGTTGGTAGTCAAAGAGCTCGAGGCGGTGCAGATGAAAGCAGCGAAAGTCGTCCTAGGATGCTCCAGGCGCACAAGTAATGCAGCCGCCAGGGGCAGAACTGGGGATCCGATCCCTACGATCGGGAAGAGACGCAAGGAAGAATGACATGGCAGTATCGCATGCGCGGTATGGTAGAAGCGAGGTTGCCGAGAATAGCTTGGGAGGCGAAGTGGGCATACAAGAAGAGGAATAGACGACACACATGTAGAGCACGTATGGAAGGGGTTCGAAATTGCCGAAGGTGAAACGCTGGAAACGGAGGGTCTAGAGGGGTTCAAGGAAAGATATCTGTTGCTTTAGCCGAGAGAGAAGAACAGAACGTAACCAAAGAAACGAAGGATAACGGGGGTCTGCATGTGTACGGAATGGTGAGAGAAGCAATAGGGCTCACGGAGTTCCTACGTGGACCAATGATTGCAGGGACAAAGCTGAAGGCCGAATCGAGGACCGGGGACATCGATTGGCCTTCGAGAACGTAGGCGAAGATTTCGGAAGGTAGGTGCAGACGACGACAAGTTCAAGTGTGACTTCGGCTCGGACTGCGAACACCGTGTGCATGTACTTGCGGAATGTCCATTGTACAAGGAGAGGGAAGTAAGCATGACTGAGCTGGGAGAAAAAGAAGGATGCAGGGTGATGTTTGAGGCATGGAATAGCCAGGAGGAGACGGAAGGAACTGTACTGGGACATAGGACGTGGTTTGAAAAAGCGGGAAGTGCTATCGATAGTATTGGTAGGCTGGGGAAAGCATTCTTGAGTCACCTTTGGCATAGGAACGATTGGCCATCGGTGATCGGTCCTGTGGGAACAATGCTCCGTCCTCTTGAGGACGCGTGGTCAATGGTCTAACCACAGAGGTACGGAAAACATACGAGTAACGCCCCCCATGGGCACGCGCTCCTGCCGCCATCGGATTCCGGGAAAATAGTTGATACTCATATTGTTTTAGACTATCGCTGCACGACCTATGCCTTATGCATTTGTTACTCGTGGGTCCAGCAGCGCATGCAGAAGCCTCTATGTTCGGAGACCACTCATTTTATAGAAAAAATGGAGAAATTGCGCGCCGGGACACAACTTAGAGTATATGGTGTGGACACAGAGACAAAGAGGGCGTCGGGTTTATGCTGTCGATAAGTGCTGGTGCCCGAGCGCGGAACCATAAAGCGCTCTCGGTTTCTTGCCCGGAGAGAGAGCGGGACAAAACCGGACAAATTGTCTGCCAAGGCACATCAATGTACAGGAACAGGAGATATCTATGAGTGAGCAACAGCCTGGATGAAAGACGAGGTATTTGTCAAACCCTTCAGTTCTCTTCGAACGTAGAGATATGTATGTATGATACAGTACGATCCCTGACTAATTTTATAACGATAAATAGGTCTTCGTCTCCTCAAAAATGTCAACCGTTCACGCGGCGGAGTATCGCATGAAATGCAAACCCGAGCCCTCTTGCATTCTGTGCACAGCCCGGTGTGAACTACACCACCAACTGCCCTGTCGGACTAGGACTCTTCGTGTCCATGGTTGGCCCAGCGGCGACTCGGGCTCGGGTACTTGCTGTGGGTTCGACCCCTGCCAGTGGCAGACATGGCAGGCGTGGTGTCCGCGGGCTTTCCTCCTGCAACGGTAAGTGTAGTGAGATGGATGGAGGAGAGTAAGTGCGCGAGCAACGGAGGAGGGCGAATCAAGAGAAAATTGCTCTTGATAATGAAAACGGACATCTAGATCACTTTCACTGCGTAGGCCGCAGAGAATGTGGCAACAATAGTAAAGCCCGGGCGGAACTCGCAAGAGGTTCACCCACAACGCGAAGGGGGACGCCGAGAGTAGAGAAGATTGTCCTGTTACCCAAGAGGGAGAATCGAACTGTAGTAGTACTTAGAACCGAGCTCACCTTTTACTCCTTTGCCCTGGTCCTCGTCCTCGTCCTCGCCCTCGTCTTCGTTCTCGTCCTCCTCTGAAGCAAAAACCGCCCGTCGGTTGTTTGACGCTATGGCGGCTCTGATACAAAATCTTACTGCACAATGTAGACGGCAGCCGCACGCACGACACCGATTAGGCTGGACCCGATGGAACACAGCTGTGATGATCAGACGATACGGTGGTGAGTACGATTTGTGCATTTTTTCTCTGTGGAACTTGTGCAACTTTGCATACTGGTATGCCAACAGCATGCTCGTCGACCCATATGCTACTTTAATCTCTTCTCCAAGTGTCCCGCTGAAGGTTGCATGAAACCTCCACTCTTCACCCTTCTCCGGCGCTTGTCAGGAATGTCGGTCCTCGCTACAGTCGGCGAGGGACCAGATGACGAGGGATTCTGTTTCGGCTGAGGCGGTCGAAGAAGCTACCCGCAAGGCGGCAAAGAAGGTCGCCAATGAGGCCGAAAACAAAGAAGATGCCCTACGGTGCATGGTAAGTAGTCAAGAGAACATTTCTCTAGGGAAATTTCGGCCTCGTCCCCACCGTCATACTCGTCCTTCTGAAATAGCATAGAACCACGCCGGGTCCTATTCGCGCAAGTCATATCATGGCAGCAAGCAATGTAAAGGCCGAACGTGGGGGAATCGAGCACGACGTGCGGCAGGGATATGTGCTAGATACGGTGCGGGTCCGACTTTGAACACCTCCTTGGACCGAAGCATCACCTCCTCCATGTGCTTCAGGCCGAACCCTTCCTCGCCCAACTCGACGTTGCTGGCCGCGGGCGCGTCAGAGCCCTCGCGGACTTGCTGCTGCTGGGCTTGAGTCCCCTTCCCTTCCTCCTTCATCGAAGCAGTGTGGTCTGGTGCTGCTGCGACGGACGGCATTCTTGCGGGGCGGGATGTGTCAGAGGGTCGAGAGGCCGCCTTTGCTGCGTCTCCCTGTTGAATGGTGTCCTGCAGCTGGCCCCATAACGCAGACTCTTCTCCTTGTTCCTTTTCCAGAGTTCGCTTCAAGAGTTCAATTTCGATATCCTCGTCACCGACCTACAGTAATTTTGTAGCGTGAGGAAAACGGGCATATA